CTTATTTTGAACTTGTTGTGATAGTTGCTGCAAGGACTGTTCATTTATTTGAAATGAGAATGGGAGAGTGGGAGAGACTGGGTGCGTATCTTGCACAGGTGGATGCCTCAGAGCTCAGAGTGCAGTGCCAGAATTTCTCCTGGAACTCTGGGTCCCACATGAAATGGATTAACTAATAATCCCAATACCCAGTGGAGCAGTTTTCAGTGCTTTAGGCTTGGCCACATTTCTACATAGAGATCAATATATTATACAGACATCTCTGTTTGTCTTTTATCAACAGTGTACACTTTTTTTTAGACTCCTATATCCTCCTACACACCATATTGAAGTATTAATATATTAAAGTGTGTTAGTTTGTTTGATTAATGTCTAAATGTTATGATATGTAATATTGACTATAGTAATTATCTACAGTGTCACACCGCATGCAGAAAATAAAAGCGATGTGCATTAAGCCACATGAACACATATCTAATTTGCCAATCACATGGCAATGACTCAGCAGACAGGGTCAAGACAATTTCTGCTGCAATATTTCGATACTGGTCAGAATTTAGCATAAACAATGTGAAAGTATCCACCCTGTCTCATATCAGTGGGTCAGCCCAATGTTGATGGCTTAATAGTGTGGGAGATATTTTCTTAACACACTTTGGGCCCCTTAAACCAACTAATTTGACCACCACAGCATGCCAGAGTATTAGTGTTAACCATGTCTGCCCCCCCCAATGTGTCACTGACCACAGTGTACTCGTCTTCTAATGGCTGCTTCTAACAGCACATCATGCCATGTCTCAAAGTCATTTTGAGCTGATTTCTTGAATGTAACAATGAGTCTAATGTACTGAAACGGCCTCTAATGTTATCAGGTCTCAATCTAATCCGGAACTGAGAATTTGAGATTCATATCATGGGCGTGTAGCTGATACCATCAAGTCAATATGGAACAAAATCTGTTGGCAAAGGAGGGTCTAACCTGGTACTATCAACGTGTACCTAATAAATAGTCTGTGTTCATTGTTATAACAGCAGATTGGCCGTTACGCAGATTACATTTTTAAACAGTAGAACGGGATCATGACGCAGCCCTCCTCTTGATGAATCCTGTGCTCCACCTGAGTCTCAGACCTCAGGACCAAACGCAGTCGCCAGTAATTTCTAGCAGAAGCTTTCTCCCTTATATGAAAAACGTTCAGTTTGTCTTATTTATTTATTTCTTTTTTTTAAGAGAGGAATGCGTGTAAAATCTGTGTTTATGCAGTACTTTTGTTAGCACATTAGTCACTCGCTCATGCTCCCTCATCAGGTCTGTCTGTTCTTGGCCCATGAATAGACTGACTACATTCTTGTTTATAAATCGGTGGCTTGTAAATAGATTAGCCTTTAGATTAGAACTTTTCTTTCCCATCATTACGTTTTTGCAATTGCACTATCATGGTAATAGGCCTTGCATAGT